ATCAGCCTCCTAGGTAGTAGGTACAGAAACGCATTGACTCAATGTAGATTAGACAGTGGAATTCTGACACGCTGCAACCTGCCGGACATCTGACTCCCCAGGCACCTCTGCACTTTTACCTGCACTGCTACATCCCCTTTTGCTCCCGTCCCCCCACCGCAGCCTGTCCCGCACCCCCTGATGCCTTCATTTCCATTTTCACTGACTGGCTTTCTTGCCTGCATTGCGTGCCAGGCCACCCTCTGGCTTCTTTACTATTCCTTCCATCCAGGACCAGGAGACACACCAACTGCAGGTACTTCCTCAGACTGACAAAGGGTTTTTCAACCTGAAAGCTTCCTAAGAGATATTTCTCTAACTATTCTGTTTTTTTCATAATAAACATACAAACATAAAAACACAAGATAAACTATCACAAACACCATGAGTAATATATATCCAACAAAATATCTTTTCTTCTTGCTTCCAATTCCTTTATAAGAAGAAAGGCTCTGTGACAGTTCTGTTTGGGTACCTTAGATGCTGCTGATGCTGTTGGTGCTATTGCTGTTGAGCCACCTACATTATTTTCACCTGACATTGTTTACAGTGGTGGACTGGAATGAGGCTGTAGGGGAGTAGGAGACCTCACTGGGGCACACTGCCATGTTGTGCAGAGGCCCCAGCACCAGGAAGGGCACACCTGAACATAGACACAGTGTCACAAGCACCCATGTCATGAATTTTGCCTGTCGACAGCCAGAGATGCAGGGCCCCAGAACCCCGAGCCCCACAGCACCTATCTTGTTGAGATCTGGCAGGCTTTGTGGCCGCAGGAGGGCCTGGCAGCCAGGCCTGCAGAGGTTCCCCCCTGCCCCAAGCCAGACACAGTGTCACAAGCACCCATGTCACGAGTTTTGCCTGTCGACATCCAGAGGTTCAGGGCCCCAGAACCCTGAGCCCCACAGTACCTATCTTGTTGAGAGCTGACAGGCTTCATGGCCACAGCAGGGGCTAGCAAGCCTGCAGTTTTGACCCCACTGTGGCTTCACACGTACAAGTGACAGGAGTTTGGGTCTCAAGATTTTGGGGTGCAGTTTCTCTGAACCCCCTGCACCTATATTCTTGATACTTGGCACGTGTCATGCCCTCAGAAGAGGCTACCATTCCTGCAAGTTTCATCAAATTCTGGCCAGAAATGACAATGTTATAGCCTGTTTTGACCTTCCCCATTATATCCTATGGGCGAAATGGCGAAACAGGGTTGAAACGGCAAAACATTTCAACGAAATGAACCGGAACAGCTGTTTCAACTCAAAACAAAAATCAAAACAAAACACTGTTCTGGCGAAATGTCAAAACACTGATTGAAACTAAACGCTTCCGTTTCGCACGGCCCTACTAATTAGTCCACTCTGCAGTAAATGTTTCATGTCGATGCACCCACTGAGTCTGAGAAAACACATTCTCCAATGTGACAGTTATCCTCATTGTCAGAAACAGAACTGGCTGAAATGTAACATTTCCAATTCATGGGAAATCTTTCAGCTTGATGAGGACCAAAGCCAATTGCATTCCAAAGTTCCTGCAAACTAAAATTTGCACCTTGCAGCAGCTTAGCAAAAGTGACATGCTGGGCAGTTTCACTCTTTATTGTCAAAAATATCAACTTAATGGAATAGTTGCATGAAGGACTATCAGGATCCTGGGCACCCCATACAGAATGCCTTTGGAGCCACGGACACAGGAAGCAGACTCCAAGGCTCCTAGGCTTTGAGTCTCAACTCCACAGCAAAGAGTCTGGAACAGTGCTTCTCAGTCTTTTTGGACTCAGAGCACCCCCTCACTGGACTTAAGGCATCCCAAGTGCACTCTAAAGTATAGTAGTCTTAAGGGCAGTGAAACTTATCTCTGCTAATCATATATGCTCTAGGATGCTCCACCTACTTGCTATCAGAGGTTAAGGGACAAAAATGTGCTTACATAGGAGGTCAGCATTTAGTCTGTTATATTCTCCCTTACCACTCCAAAAAGGCTATAATCTCTACACATAACAGCAGATAAACAAGAAGCATTCCTGAAACCATAATCCTTAAAGAAGAAAACAAGTTGAAATGTTACACTTCTATCTAGATGTTGTGTTTCCTATATTATTAATGCCTAAATGTATTGTTACTGAAAGAGACCAGAGAGAGAAAAAATGATAATACTTTTTTTCCACCCAGAAAGTGTTTATATTGGGTATATAATAACACTTGTGTATAGTCAATGTCACTC